AAAACTGTAAACTCACTACCATATTTTTCCTTGAGTTTTGACATTTCTCTCTAATCTGTCTGCTATTATTTACTTTTCAGAGTCCTTCAACAGTTTATGTATTCTGTCCAGAGTATTATTGTAATCAGTGGAAGAAATAGGGAGAGTGTATTTACTTCATCTCAATCAGAACTGGGACCCCTAGCTTGATATTTTAAATCCCACAAATTAGACATTGTTCTCATTCTTTTATAAGCTCAATATTCATTTTGATTCATCTACATGCTTACTTCTTTCTTCTCGCTATTCTTTTTCACACCTCAGACCTTACTTCTGGTACTTTTATTTTGTTTGAAAATGTCTATTTTGCTAGTGTTCTTGAAAATAATTTATCTGGGTGTATCCAGGTTGCAATATTGTGACTGATAATATAAAAAATATATTTCTTATATATATCGGGTCTTCATCCATAGTTTCTGGCTCACGGCTCTCCAAACCCTTGGAATTCTTTAGCTTTATATAAGTTTTAAATCCAATAATATGAGTTCTCCAACTGTGTTCTTTTTCAAAATCATTTTGGTTTTTCTAGGTACTTTTGTTTTTCCCTTTACGTTTTACAATCTGTTGGTCAATTTCTACAAAGAAGCTTGCTGAAATTTCAATTAAGAATGCTTTGATTCTGTAGATTCATTTGGTGAGAAGTGACCTCTTAACATCAAGCCTTCCGATATATAAACATGGTATATCTCTATTTATTTAGAACTTTTGATTTTTCTCATCAATGTTTTGCATACAGCTCTTACTTTTTCTTAAGACAAAGCCTGGGGTCTGAGGAGACAATGATATGCTCACACCTTATCTGTGTCTTGGGCATCTCAACTTAAGCTGTCTCTTATCGGCTCCTTAATCCTCACCCCTTCCTTGGAACATGCTCCTCTCTAGTCGCTCAAACTGGTAAACTGAGCATCACTCTTGGGACCATCCTATCCTACTCTCAGCAGCCAGGAACAACGGCCTCCAAAACATATTTTGAATCCATCCACTTCTTTCCATCTATATTCATTCCACCATCCATGACTTGGACATCCCTATCTCCCACCTGGATTATTTGCAGTAGCTTCCCAATTGTTCCTACTTCCACTTTTCTGCCCTCCCTCCCACAAAGCTGTTTTCTATGCAGTACCGGGGGGGTCTTTTTTATAACATAAATCTGATAATTTTACTGCTCTGCTTAAAACCCATCAAAGGTTTTATAATAATGCCCTTACAATAAAATCCAGATTCCTTCTGTGGTTCTCATTCACCTTGTTTCAGACACAGTGACCTATTTTGGGCCCTGGCAATGCTGAGCTCTTTTTAGCCTCAGAGTCTTTGTGTGCGTCTTTCTCTACCTGGAATGGGCTCCCCACAATCTTTGCCTAGACAACTCCCGCTTACTTTCAGGTTTTATTTTAAATGTCTACTCAGAAAGGCCCTATTATTCCTTCTCAGAGCACTCTGATCTTTTCCTTTTAACATTTGTGATCTTTTTTTGTCTGTTTATTTACATTTCTCCAAATAGCCAGCTTTCTGGGTGAGCTGACCCATTTTACAGATGTTGAAATGAAGCTGTTTAAGGGCCCAGCTATGGGAATTCCAGATGTCACCAGCCTCCTCAGCAGGGTTTGAAGTTGGAGAACCTCCCCTACCCATGGCTGGGCCAACAGACCTAGAACCCTGTGCATCTGTGTGTCCCTGTGTTGGGAATGGGGCACAGACTGTGATTTCTCTCAGGGGAGTAAATCCCCCATTGGGCCTGGGAAAGGTCCAGAAAAAAGGAGTCTCTCCTAGCTCTGCTCTGGCCCCTTCGGCATCTATTTCAAGCTGGCCAGGGCCTTCTCCCTGAGTCCTGCTGGCTGAGCCCTCAGACACCCTTAAGTCTGATTTCTTCTCTCTAGTTCCCAGGCCCCTACCATTCACTGTTGTAGTGTCCTGGCCACTTCAGCATGAGCGGGGTGGGCACCCTGACAGGGCAGGGGGCAAGGCCACGACGTTGCTCAGAGTTCTGCAGCACACCCGGCAAGGACGGTCTGAGGCTTCCCGGGACAACAGGCACCCCGAGGCCACACACCCAGCGGGCGGTCGTGACACCCAGGTCCCAGCACTCTGTCTGGGCGCGCGTTTCTGCCCAACAGGTCTCCAGAGGGACCTGAGGGTCAGGAAGGTGGCTTCTGGGCGCCTAGACCAGCGGCTTGGGGCTCCGGAGAGATGGGTGGCAGCTGAGGGTTCAGAGCCGAGAGCAGCGGGGATGGCCAGGACAGGCAGTAGGCCACATAAAGGGTGGGGGCGGCGGGGCAGGGGGTGCTAAAGGGAACTGAGGCGAAGGGACCTGGAGCAGGCTTCCAGGGACAGTCGGCAAGACCTGGTTGGGGAGGAGAGCTTAAGTGGGCTGGGGGGTAGGGACGAGCCCATGAGTGGCTGGGGCTGGACCTCAGAGGGAGGGCTCCGGAGTCGCCAAGGGGCATACGGTCGGGGCTGAGGGGCTTCTGGAACCCGCTGCTGGACCGCAGTGGGGTGGGGTTAGTGTGCGGGGGTGGCAGGCGGGTGCCAGCAAGCGTGGTTCCCGGAGTGTGCTGCTGAGCGAGGGCGGGGCTACGGGACAGGTTGCAGAGGAGGTCACAACTCTGTCCAACTTCCGCGATCCCCGCAGCGCCTCTGAGGATGCTATAGCTCTTGCATGGTGCTGGCGTCTTCTGCAGAAGGGCCTCCCGGGACCCCTGGGGGGAGCCGTGACGTCAGTCCCCTCCGCAGCGGGTGTCAGCGGTGCTGGTGGTGGAGCCCACATTCCCTGTGCGCGTCCGCCAGCGGAGGGCTGCTTAGTAGTCCCTGAACGCCCGGCCTCCTGCCCCGGGCCAGGCCGGGCTCCTGAGAGTCCCCGCCAGCCCACTCGGTCTCTCCCCAGCGAGCTGAGCCTGGCGACAAAAGTGTCCGGGCCCAGGAGGGTGGCCCCGCGCCTCCTCCCCTCCCAAGAGCACTTCTGCTTTTTGGCTGTGACCCTGGGCTCAGGCTTCGCACCTGTTAAAAGAGACTTAGGAAAAATACCGACCCCTTGAGGTTACTGGAAGTCCTAAATAAGATATTCCGTGCAAAGTTGCCTAGAACTTGGCCCTGGTGTACAATCTTCACACTTCTCTCAGGCCTTATCACCCTTATTATGTGCTTGATGAGCAAAGGGAGCCTCGCAGAGGTTAAGGAAGCCGCTCTGGGTCCCATAGACAGGGAGTAGCTCCTGAGATTCAAATCCAAGTCTTTCCAAAGCTCAAGCCTCATCTTGGATTATGGCTGAGGGCACATCCTGGATGCTCTGGGTGGAGGTGCTGGGGCTGAATTGGTTCTGTCCCCTTGAGCAAGTCCTCTCTCTCCGGCCTCAACTTCCACACTTGTTGAACATATCTAAGCATTATCTCCCAGACTGGGTCTGAGAAGGGGTCCTGGACTGCAGATCTGCCGCGTCTCCACAGTTTAGTGCCACAACACAGCTTTCTCATCTGGTCCCTTCGGCACTGTGTCTGACACTTAGGAGCTGGACCGTGGGGAGCAAGCTAGCTGTGGAGACTTCCTGAGTCCCTAGGTTTTTGGTTCCACATACCGTGATCAGACTGGGATTTGGTTTCCTGAGCTTGTGGAAGACAGGCTCAGGCCAGGGGGCCTCTCCTTGGACTCCATGATAGGCAAATAGCCTGGCTAGGAACTAGGCTGAGGACCCAGTATCCCTCGGAATTCTCTACTTGTCCCATGAGCATTCCTTTCCTAGAGAATCTGAACTCCTTCAAAGCCTCCCTTGACCCCCTACAAACCCTATTACCTCTTCACCCCTGTCCCTGGTCCTGACATGGTCCCAAGGCTGCTGGGCCCTGAGCTACTCCCTCCCTTACTGACATTTCCCTGACCTTCCTCGGGTACCACCGCAGCACACACACACCTCTCCCTTGAGCCCCCAGCCTGCAAGGAACCACTGAACTGGCTAGGCCAGTGCCGAAGCTTCTCAGAGGAGGAGAATGATCACTGGCTGAGGAAGGCAGGCCCAATGAACCCTCTACTACCTCTTACCCCTGTCTGGTCCACATTCTCCCCAGAGCAGTGTAGATATGGTGGCCAGATGCATGGAGCTGGGTCCTGGGAAGGTCATTTCTGAGCATGCCTGGACTAATGAGCTGGGATTCTGTGCTTGGACACGGCCTCTGGGTAGGCCCTCCCTGAGTCAGGCAAAGGCAGAGGGAGTGATTGCAGGCTTGACAGCTGGCAGTCTAGGATTTCTCACATGTGGGACCAAGGAAGGCGCCAAGTGCCAGGTGTCCTCCCCAAACTAGTATTCACTTTGATTGGGGGTGTAGCCTGAGCCTGATCTCTCTCGTGCTTTCCACCACCCTCTGAATCTGCCACTTTCCTGTGGAGCCTCACAGCTTACAGAGCTCTCTCATTTTGTCTTATGTGGCAAAGGCGTGATGAGGCCCCAGTTGCTAGGCTTGTTACAGAAGTAGGGCTGCCCCATGAATGGGAAGATAAGTGGGCAGGGAAGTATGTGTTTAGTTTCTGTATCAAGTGGGTCTCTGTCTGCCAGTGGCCAGCGGGGGAAGTATTCCTGGTGACCTAGGAACAGGTGAGGAGCCAGAGAAAGCGACTGTGGGCCGATAAAGGGTAGGTCCCCTGCCTCTGAGTGTCAACTCTGGATGGGGGGCATCAGCATTTCATTCCCAGGCCAGCTCAAAGAGCCCTGTCATAGGGACACCAGGTCAGACCACAGGGCCATTTCTCAGGTTGAAGCCCCATAAACCCTGCCTGTTGTTCTAGGACATGGTGGGATTTGAATATGGACTACCCTGCTTGGGGCCACCAGATCCTCAATCCTGTCTTCTCACCAGGTGTCCCTCAAAAGGACTGCAGGGCCAGGAGTCCCCTGCCAGTCCCAGGAACCCCCTGTATCTGCAGGAGTGGAGGCAAGGAACAAGAGAGAGATCACCCATGCTGAGACCTGTCCCGCCTCCAATTCTAACCTGGCCCCTGCCTCCCAGGGGTTGAAATTGCCTCTTAACCTCCCAAAGAAGAAAAGGCCTAGCCAAGATCCCAGATAAACCATTTTTGTTGACTTAGTTATCAACATCACCTGGGAGGGCTGGGAACTTGAAAACAGGAAACAACCTGGGATGGGGTTTTGTTACCTCTCTCACACACACACACGTACCCACACATATCCACACGAGCACACACACTGACCACATCCGCAGCAAGTGGGCCCTGGCTGAGTATGTGTGGCGACACTTATTGGAGGCCTAATAAGATGTGCAGACAATGGGTGCCCAGGACACAGAAACCAACAGAAGAGGGTAGTGCCAGAAGCCTGGGCAGGGAGGAAGGCCAAGTGAACGCTTTCACTGAACTCCTAAACACCCCTCCATGGCTCTGGGCCCCAGAGGGTCAAGGAAAGGGCTAAGGTTGGGGCCTGTGTGGGGAGGCCTCTCTCCTGCCTGAGCATAAAGTCCATTCTCGACAGAGACAAAACTACTTCGAGCAGAGGTTGGCAGAGGTGCCCAAGGGGCTGGTTGCTGTGCTGCATGGATGGGGAGCCGCACCCACCTAGACAGGGGCCGGGGCTGGAGAACTGTGTCCAGAGCTGCTGGGCAGTAGTTGGTGGTGACGGTGGCATAGGGCATGTGGAGAGAGGCCAGGGAGGCCTGGCCAGCTGCCTGCAGGGGTGATGGGGAAAGAGGCCCAGGTGAGGTTCCGTCTCACAGCCCCCAGCTCCAGCCCACTCTGTTCCCAAAGTGACTCCTGATCCTCACCCTTGCTTGTGTCTGTGTCTGGAGGCTGCTGAGAGGTGGCTGAAGCTTCGTGACAGACCTGGGAAAGAG